ACGTTCTCCACCCACCTCTGAGTAACATTCATTCTTGTGTTTCAGCTGAAACTTCCCATCCTAAGGGAAGCCTTCCCGCCACCACCTATGCCATTTCCACAGAATTTGGGTCCCCTAATTACTCTTTCATCATACACCTCTATATACCTTTTGCTAACAAGCTGTATGTTCATCAGTAATCATCTACTAATATCTGGCTAGGGTTCCTGCAAGAAAGTGCACCGTGTGAGTGTAGAGACTGTGTTTCCTCTGACACATATTTGTTTGATGGATATGATGCTGGGGGTTGAACCCAGGGCATTTGTGCTGAATTTTATTTATGCTGAGATAAGATCTCACTAAGTTGCCAAGTTGCACAGGCTTGGTTTGAACTTGTGATCCTTCCTGCCTGAGCCTATCAGGGAGCTGGGATTACAGGTATACCCCACTGTGCTCAACTGAGTATATCTTATATTAATTATTTATATTAATTTGTAATCTAAAAACACTTTACAAATGAAAGGCTGGGAGTGGCGAGAGGGGTCTTTAATAAGCAGTTATCCAAAATTTCCATTGTAATACTCGCATGTCTGCGCGGGGAGCAGGTGGAGCGATCCTTAGGTTCACAGGTGTGAGGAAGGGGTATCTCTGATCCCTGATAGAATTTCTTCTCTACCAAAACTCTGAGAGACAAAGGGTCGAATAAAGGGCAGCATGGGATGGTTGGGTCTTCTTGGACCAAAGTGAGGCTTGGACTGGACCCAAGTGAGGCTTGCATTGAAGCAAGAGAAATTAGGATCCCCTAAGAATGTCTGGAACCCATTGAAGAGAGACTGTGGCACTTCTGGGGCTCCAGGGGAGCTTCCTAGCCAGCTTTCCAGGAAGTGACTACAAAAAAGTGCTACCTGCTTTTTTTCTTTAATACAATAGATTGTACATTGAGAAAGCAGTCAGGAGCCGAGGTAACTAAAATACATGAGCTTTTACCGAAGTGCTTTGGTGTTTGGTGTCCAAAAAACCCTAGTACCACAATCAAAGCAGACTTCAAAAATACTCAAGCATGTCTATTTCTTGGGTTGGATACCATCACCCTTTTGCAAAGAAGGAACCCAGACAGAGAGGTGAGTCCCATCCCATCTTTCTATGGAGTTCAGCTCCATCGCAGTGAGTTGGAGAATTCAGTGACGATGGGTTGGCTGTTCCTCCCTTCTCATCCTGTCCTTCCACCTGACTTAACCAACTCTCAGCCTTCTGTTTCCTAGGAACCCCAAATGAAGACAGAGCTGGCATTTGAACCCTTGCAGCCTCACTGAAGAATGTGGACTCTAAATCTCTACAGTCCTCCTCCTGCTGAAGGACAGAGGCTGTGAGTCTGTATTATAGGCCTGGGTTTTATGATTTATCAGCTGGTGCGGTTTGAATAGAGCCTTCCTCCCACAGAGGACCTGCTGGGGTCCTAATCCAGTTCCTTGGAATGCAGTCTCTTGATAGAGAAATCAAGTTAAGGTACAATCATTAGAGTGAGCCATAATATGTGACTAGTGTCCTCACAGAAGGGGAAAATGGAAGACAAAATGTCTCTACATTGTTCAAAGACTGGAGTTACACTGCCATAAGCCAAGAATTGTTCAGAAGCTAGGAGAAATGACTAGAACACAGCATATCCCACCTCCTTTCAAAGATGCGTAGCCCTGTGAACCCCTTGATCTCTGACTTATAGCCTGTAAAGCTGTGACAGAGTAAACTCCTGTTGTTTAAAACACTCAGTTTATACTCCTTTGTTATGATGTACCAGCTATGCCCAGCTATGTGACATCTCCGTGCCTTCATTTCTACCCCCATAAAATGGGAACAAGCATGTAATCCCCTTCACAGAATTCTTAGGAAATACAAAATCACAAAAAATAACACATAAAATGCTAAGCATGGAGTTCAGCATGCAGTGCTCAATACAGAAGTAGCTAGCATCATTGTAGCTGAAACAGATGAGCCGCTACCTCCATAGCACATACAGAGCACATAAACACAACTGCTGGGAAAGGTCCAGCTGAGCTTGGTACTCCTTTTCACCTTCAGAAGGTCCTTCAGGAGCCATCCTGGTGCTGTGTTCCTACAGTCCTAGCTATTCAGGAGATGGAGGTTGGAGGTCACTTTAAACCCAAAAGTTCCTAATCAGCCTGGGCAACATAACAAAATCCTCTATGAAAACAAGCAAGCAAACAAACAAACAAACTCTGGTCCAAAAACAGTCGAGGAGAACAACCTGTCTTCAAATCTGATCTGGCCCAAACAGTAATGATAATAAGTTTTAACAGGGAAGGGTGACTCAGGATTTGTATAGCTTTGGCTAACCATCAAGAGGTAGCTGCCCCTTGGGATTTCTGTCATGGGATTGCTTCCTAAAACTGGCAGGTCTCAACCTGAGTGTGCAAAAAGTAAAGTGCCATAACTCTGCAGAACAATGGGAAATACCAACATCTCTGAGGATGGCATCAATTAAGGCTTGCTGTTACAAAAACCAGAATTCACTCATTAGTTTAATCAGTAAATACTGAAAATATAGGGGCTGAGGGTGTGGCTCAGTGTGGAGGAAGAATTTAGTAATTAATGAAAAGGCCAGAGAGACAGAGATAGGAAAACTAAGTGTCACTGCAGAGCTTTAAGGTGCAGGGTCACAGGGGTTTCAGGACTCTTGCAGAAGCAGGCAGCTGGATGCAGCGATGAGAGATTCTGTGGTCAACTAGGGTGATGAAAGTCAAAGCAACCTATGGGTCCAGTGAATAGTTAGAAGGGAAATGGAAATATGAAAATGGTGATAGGTTGCTTTCTGGACACTATTAATTTTGTTACTTATGGCATTGTAGGATGATAACATTAAAAAATGATCAGGGTAAGCTGGGCGTGGTGGCTCACGCCTGTAATCCCAGCACTCTTTGGGATGCTGAGGCAGGAGGATCCTTGCGAGTTCGAGACCAGCCTAGGCTACAAAGTGATGAATATTAAGATGTTGACAGAAACGAGAGAAGGCAGAACTAGCATAGCCTGGACCATTATCAGTCTTTAATTGTTGTGGGCATCCCAAAACTGATAAGGTAGTTAACATATGGCTAATAACATGTTTGGTAGCTTCGCCAGTCTGGGGAGAAGCATAAATAAAACCACTAAAGGTATCTATAGTTACATGAACATATTTAAGATTGCCAAACTCAGGCACGTGGGTGACATCCATTTGCCATAATGCAATGGGGATAAGTCTTCTAGGATTAACCCCAAAGTGTGGAAGTAGGAGGTGTGTGGCACAAGAGGGGCAATTTTTCCTATCAGTCTGGCTTGCTCTCTGGTGATGTGGTGCTAAGAAGGAGGGTTTGAGCATTGAGATGGTGTAATTGATGACTCTTTTGTGCTGAAGTAACACTGTCATCGTAATCACTGGAGCTAACATTAGCTAAAGTACAAAGTAGAGCTTGCAGTTGAGTGGCCAGGTCTGCTATATGATTACCATTGGCCAGAGGCCTGGTAGAGTGAGCCCAAGTCCAATAAAAAAAAGGCAAGTTCTTTTTATAGTAAGCACCTGTATTTGCCTAAATAGTTCTCCAGTGCTGGAGGCACTTTTGATTTGACCAGCTGTTTCTAGCAGGAGCACATTGTGTGCAGTATAAGCACTGTCAGTATATAAATTCACTGGCTCATTGGGAAATGCTGAAAGGGAGGCAGTGACAGCATGCAACTCTGTGATCTGGGCTGATGTACTGTTTGTTTGGAGGATACAGTTTTACCAGGTGAATATCCACTATTTTACGTTTGAGCAGGAACAATGGTATTTGGGCTACCCGTGATTAATCCCATTTGTGCCAGTAGATCTCTACCGCAAAGATTTATTGGTAATCTAGCTATGACATATGGCTGTATTTAAGGCCTTGTTGATAAGCAGTTTCAATGTCAGTGTTACCATGGATTGAACTCACAGGCTTACATTTGTCAGACAGGCGCTTGTGCCACTGAGCTAAATCTCCAGCCCTGGGGACTGAACTCACAGCCTTGTGCTTGGCTGGCAGGTGCTCATGCCATTGAGCTAAATCCCTGGACTTTGCTTAATGCTCGTGAGAGAGGAACTCATATCTCCCTTAAATTGCTTTTGGGCCTCTTTGTGGGCATAGGCATCATCCCCTATTAACATATCAACATCCCACCCATTGCTGGCTTGCATACTGTGCCTGGCAGTCTCTTTGCAATTTTCGATGTATTCTGATTTCCACAAAACATAATCCCCATCCCATAAAGTTCCTTGGGTCAATCCTTGCCAATCTGTAGGTGTGAGCCAGCTGTCAGCCAAAGAACTTAAGACAGCAAGAGTATACGTGGCTGTGTCTTTCTGCCGTGTAACCACTGTTTTTAATGCTCTATTCAGTTTGAAATTGAAACCAGAGTAGTCTAGAATAACTCCACCCTCTGCATCCATCATTTCTATCACAGGGAAAGCATCCATATCATCTAGCTTTAATATTGGACCAGGCCATGGGGGTAAATTTAGAAATCATGCCTCTCAGCAGGAGTCACTGAGCAGGAGAAATCCCAGAGGAAATTCTGGGGTTAGTTTCACTTTTCATTTAAAATTTTGCTATTTTCAGCCTTTCTAATTGAGCTATCAAATCCTGATGTAATTTTTTCAGTTTAATTTGCTGTTTTAAAAGTTCAATTTGGTCTCTTAATTCCTTCCTAGTATCGAAAGTTAGATACACTGAAGCCAGAGCTACACAGCTGTTACACTTTGGGGAAGGGCGTGCGGCTACCTGGTCACTTTGCGCTCGAGTCAAAATTTAGCCCTAATGGACAATTGCTTAATTTTTTTTTTTTTTTTTAACCTTTCACGTCTTTAAAGCCTTTCTTAAACTTTTAACCAAAATCTCATGCTGGCTCATTTCTTGTCCTAGTGGACACAACTGCTAAATATTTTTTCACTTTACCATCTGTGTCTTTAAAGCTTTTCTAAACTTTCAACAAAAGTCTCACACTGTCTAATTTCTTGTGCCATGATCACTGTTCACTTACCGAGGTTCAGCTGCGTGGCAGGCTCCCATGTCGGTACTCTATTTTCTTTTCCTTTTTCTACACTGGGCCCTCGAACAGCGTCCGTCACTAAGTCTCCCGTTCTCGGGGCCAAGGTTGGGGTGGCACCGGCCTGCGGGTAAGTCCACAGAGATGCTAGAGGGGGAGGGGAGAGGAAAAGGAACAAGAGACAAAAGAGCGGAGACAAGTTGAGGAAGTCCTATCAAGTCTCTCTTTATTCAAGGAAAGAGTATCAAATATAGAGGGTATTGAGGAGGAGGGATTTGGATGCTGAGACATTAGCAGGTAACTTAGCAACAGTGGCAAGACCGAGGTTTATAGGTCAGTTCAAATTTCCCGAGTGTGTAGGCTCATAAGAATAATCCCTGAACGATGGACCAGTCTAAACAAGTTATGCAAGGTGCTACTTAATTACCAAATTAACTCCTAGAGAGAATTAAAGTGGTGCAGCCTGCAGATATTAAGGTGGCAGCCAATTACAGGGCTTCCCACTGGAACCATGCCTAGAAATTTCCAAACTTGCCCTTAATCTGTAATCTCCCTAGATTCCAGGAAAAGTAGACCTTTCAGACCACTCCCTGATGAGGGAAGCAATTATGAAGTGACAGGACCCAATTATGCCCCCTCTCCCAGAAGGAACCTTTATTTCATTATGACAAATGAATTATTTCCTAAAGTGATGAGGCCCTCCGAAGCTCTCATGGATCCAATCTTGAGAAATCAACCAATAGGATCATAAATGGACCAGGTATCTCATAGCTGTCAGCTATGCCAAGAAACCAGCATTCACCTTTTTTTTTTTTTTTTTTTTTTTTTTTTTTTTTTTTTTTTTTTTTTACCATTTCTGGAAAACCTTAAAGCTTCTGGAAGCCTCCAAAAGATGGATACTGACTATTGTTATCGGTCCTTTCCAGCATGGACAAACTCCTTTCATGCTCTTCACCACTGTTCGTCTCTTTTATTATGTATTATTGATGGAGCTGATGGCTGTCTGTTCAGGTCCCTGGATTTTGTCTCAGAATTCCAGTAACAAGGCCACACTGGTTCAGGGAGCTGACAGTGTGGCCAAAGTCCAAAGAGAATGACAATCTCAGAGCTGGGATTCAGGATTAAGTGGTACCGTCTAGAGTGCATTTGATACAAAAACTTATAGTCATGAAATGGACCTTTAATTAAATCTTTCTAATTTCTCAAAACAAAACCCAAAACAGCCCGCCAAAAAGACCCCACCAAACACAGAGTTTGACCCTAGTCAACCTTCACTTCTGTTTTTTCAGCCTCTCACACTGAAGGGGAGAGTTAGGGAAAGAAGGGGAGAAGTTAATATTTTTTTTTGAGAAAGTAGATTTACCTGGAGTAGAAACACTGGTCTCATTCTCTTGGTTGCCGACCACTGAGGTGGCAAGGAGGGCAAGGAGAGCTGCAGAGAAGCAGAGCTCATGCATCCTGCTGACCTGGACTACAGGCTTCTTTGCAAGTGGAGGCTGATTTGATACCTGCACTGGAGGCTTCTGTGCTGAGTTGTGGAAAGGTATTTAAGGGGAGGAGAAGGGAGGGGAGGAACTGATATTCCCGTAGGATTGCACAATTTCTCAAAGGCAGACTTCCTGATTCTGGTGCCTGAGGCCAACAGTTTCAGCCACTGTCCTTCTAAAGCAGTATCACTGTGAGCTACATAGGATCTCCCTCAGGACATGGCTAATCTGGGGTGAGCTGCCCCCTTTCCAACCAGTACTTTCACAGGTCCACGGTCCTCTCCTATAAAATTCACCAAGGAAAAGGCTGAGGTAGGAGGATAATATTCTAAAGGTAACTTTGCATCTTAGTAAGACTCTTACAAAGTGGAGCACAAAAGACCTGAACAGGATATAAAATCTACATTAAAGTATGAACACCTTTTCTGTGTAACAATAATAAGCTAGGTGAAAAAGAAATCCGGAAAAAAAATCCATTCATAATAATTTTAAAAAGTAAAATTCCTAAAAATCAACCTAATCAAGATGGTAAACGGGATTTAGACTGAAAATTACAGAACAATACAGAAAGAAATTGAGGAAGATACTATAAACTGGAAAGCCATACAATTCATGTATGAGCAGCATTAATCTGGACTGTTTTACCCAAAGTAATCCATAAATTTAATGCAATCCCCATCAAAATTCTTCCTTCACAGAACTAGAAATAATAGTCTTAAAATAAATATGGAAATACTACACCAAATCCTGAACAGCCAAAGTAATTTTTGCCTTAAGCAAACAACAGGCAAGAAGCATCAAATTCTCTTAATACCACCTGTTGTTTGCTCCCCTACAACTGTCCTCAGCTCCTGACCCAGCCAGCTTGACAACTGGCTTCAGTGTCCACCCTGATTGTGTCTAGCAGCCATTCTCCTCTCCTCCACTCCAATATAGGTGCAGCTCCACTGTTGTTTTGGCAGCCCTCCTCACTTCCACCGCTTCAGAGGCTAGCACTGACTTTTGAAGAAAGCTATGGACTTCTTGGCATCAAGAAGGGAGGGATCTCGATCAATCCCCTGCTGACATCACCAAATCCAACAGCCAGCTTTCTACATTTCAGATATCTGATATCAAATAATTGGAAGACCCTTTGCACCAAGGAGTTGGAAGACAACTCTTTATTATTATGTGAGCGGAGAGGGCAGACCAAGTCCAAATCATCAGTCCCAAGTCAGATTTAGGTCTAGTTTATATGGGATATACAAGCAGGAGGTACAAAGCTGATTTTGGTTATTGTAAAATTGGTTACAAGAATCAAGTCATATGTTGTCAGGCAGGTTTGTTCCAGGCAGGTTAGTCAGAGGGGTGGTTTACCATAAGGCAGGAGAAAATAGGGAGGGAACTGGGGCTGAGGAAGTGGTTGAAACTAGGCACATCCTTGAATAGTTTGTCTCAGTTGCATTGTCTTTAAAAATAGAAAATGTTTATACATCAGACAGTATGCACAGTCCTGATGGATGTGGTCAAATTATCTCTACGTGGCAGCTGACATGGTCAGTCAAGGCTAACTGAGTCAAATGATCTGTGCGGTGGGATGAGTGAGCACATCTTGTCTTAACAAAGCATCAGACTGTTATTTTTAACTTTTCTGTCACATTTAGAAATTTCCCTTGTTTAGCCCTGTTCCCTCGCTGGATCAGCACCATGACAACTGAGGCTCATTAAACCCTGTACTGATGATGGGTCTGTACTCTGACAATCACAGGCCTGAATCTGCTACTTCAACAACACTCCACAGGCACTTTTCAGGTTAGTCTACAAGGGCTCCCGGCAGTATACTGACCCCTCACCTCTAAACCTAAAACTGCAGCACAAGCCCTGTTAAAGACTGACTTTGGTGGTTGTGTAAATCTGTGTGATTTATTTCTCAGATAGTGTGGGCTTCAAAATTCCTATAAATCTGCTCAGGATTCTTAAGATGAGTAGTGTTGACAGACCAGGTAAAATCTGGTCAAAAGATATAGATCACTGGGGGTTCAGTCTAGGGGGATACATTGTAATTCCTTGTCCTTTGATCACTCCTTACTTCCTGCCTGCTATGCAATGAGCAACAAACCCTCTGCTACGATGTCCCTATGCAATGGTCTCCTGTTTTGGAGCCAGCTGATTATGGACTCAAGCCTTGTTACTGTTTGTGTCTAGATGCCCTCCCAAATCCTCATGCAGTCATAGGTGGAGCTTTTCAGAGGTGGCTGGATCTAGTGTGGGTTGCTAGGATTAAGGCTGTGTGATTGTTTCACTGATTGATTTGGCAACACCCTAATCCTGGTAGCCAAGATAGAGAATAAAAGGGAATGAAAGATGTTATCGAGCTCACTTATTGTTTTGCTATCCTCTGTGTACCATAAGTGTTTCTCCTCTGTGAGGCCTATCTGCCATAACCCCCTGCCTAGGAGTCAAATGCTTAATTACTGAAACCTCTACAATCTCTGAGCTACATAAACCTTTTCCTCTTTACTCTGGGTGTTGAGCATTTTGTCACAGCAACAAGAAAAGTAACTAAGGCAAATATCTATCAACTAAACAAAATAAAACCTTTGTGCTTTAATTTGTAGTTATCTGGTATTTTATTCCAGACAGGGAAAGTAACTAAGATATTTGATAACTGAGAAGAGGGATTATTGCTGAGATAATCCCTGACCATGTGGTTCAGAAGCCTTTGGGACTGATTCAAGAGAGGCATTTGGAAAGGGTTGGAGATGCTGGTTGTAGAAGCAGCCCTAGAATGCTATGAGTCAAAGTTGATGGACAGTTTTAGTTGGAGCTCAGGACATCAGAATGCTGATAGAAATCAAGATGGGAAAGACCAGCTTTAAGAGGTTTCTACTGAGAACAAGGACTTAATTAACATTTGGAACCCAGACCATGTGTGCTGTTCTCTGGCAGAAAATTTGTCTTCATTTTGCTTTTGTCCTGATATGCAGTGGAGACTGAGATCAATGACAGCAGTTTACATGCATTATGTACATGTGTCAGTGCCACACAGGAAAGTAAACATGATGTATCAAAAAAACATCCAAAAAAAGTAAGAAACATACAAAAAAAGTAAGAAGGTCAACAGATGATGAGAGGGGAAGAAAGGAAGGGAAAGGGGGTTAACAAGGAATTAAGATTTATTATTTGTTATGCACATGCAGTAACCCTGTACAAGGAATGTAAACATTATATACTGCAATGTGTAGAAAAGCAATCAAGATATGGGTAGAGGGTGAGGGAAAGTAGGGAAAGCAGATGAAAATAAAAGGAATTAAATGCATTATGTACATGTACCAACTCACCACAAGGACTGCAATACCATGCACTAGAAAAACATTCTAAGAAATAAAAATAATCAAATTTAAAAAGAGAAAAACAGGCCCCTTCAGCTTCCAGCCACACTAGATTGGCTCTTGAGATTTCCAGGCCTGGCTGTGCCATGTACAAGAGAACTTTTTTCAAACCTAGGAACTGGCACTGCTGGACTTCCACCACCCAGCATGGCCCCAAGAGAGTTTAAGATCATTGCTCCCAGTGATCAAGGATGCGCCCAGCTTCCAGCCACACTAGACTAGGCTTGGGAGGTTTTGTGGGCCCAACGAGACCATGCACAGCTGTTTCAATCAGGGGGGCTGAGGGCAT